TTTTGTATAGAATCCTAATTTCTCGTATTATTTCATGGTAGATCCTCTTTCCATTTTTCTTTCAAGCGACTTTTGATCATAAAAATTAGCTCCAACAAATCTTTTTATACCATTTCAACCTAAAAACGTTTTTTTTATGGGTAGAAGGGAAAAAGATGGCTAAAAAAGTTTTTGAGATGAAATGGTATAAAATGATTTGTTGGGACTAATTTTTATGGTAAAAAAGTCAATAAAAGTGGGTGATAAGAGATGAGGGGTACAGTGAAATCCTTAGGGATTTCCTTATGCAACTTGAAAGAAAAACAGAAAGATGGTCTAGCATAAAACAATATAAGAAATTAGGGTTTTATATGAAATTTTTCCTTATTTTTAACCTTTATAATTTGAAGGTTGTGAATTGTATATATGGTCAAAATGTGTCTCCCAAATAATGAATCTAGACCGTTCATTTGATAAATTCAAGATCTTGGCATTTATAAATTCAAATTCAAAATTTTCTTTTTCACCGTTGTTAATCTAATGATAATAAAACTATCTAAAAATTTTGATAAGAAAAAAGATTATTCTAAAGCCTAGATCTACACATCATCAAAATAGACGGCCTATGTTAATTGGGCTAAAAAAACACTTTTTAGGTTGTGTTTTCAAATTTTTTTTTTTTGTGATTGTTCATTAGAATGAAGAGAGTATATATTTGAGCATTTGGATCAAACAAATGTTCAAACAAATAGTCCTAATGAATTTGTCTAGAGTTAACAGCCCTCAAAAATACAAATGTTAATGTTAATTTGGGTCATTGATCTCCTTCAACATGGCCTTTGAGAATGGGGTTGAGGTGGTAATACTAATACCACATGTGCCTCTATTAAGGTATAGGCTTCTCACTTAATGCATTAAAAAAACCACTAATGATTTGAAAAATGGGTAAAAACTCATCATCCCCACTAAATTACCAAAAAAAAAAAAGTCATCCACCATATCCACCGTCTATTTAGGGAAATGGACTATCAACATTTGGAGTAGCAATGCCAGGTCAGACCCGATCAAACTAGGTCTAACATAGACCAGGCAGGTCCAAGTCATGTGGACCTAGACCCGACTTGTCGGGTCAAGTTGGATGTAGTTATATATTTTATTATATATATTTCATATTTAACATATTTTAGACACCTAGTTGGGCTGGGTTGGTTTGACCCCAACACAAACCCAGACCCAACCCAACGGGGTCCATGCTGCACCCAAACCCAGACCCAAGCCTGATTTGCCAGGTCCAACACTTGGAACAAGACCAAACCCAGTTTGGGTCGACTAACCTGATTGCTAATTCATATCACCATGATGAACGCCCACAACCACCATTAATGATCAGTGAATGCCCATACCACGTACCACGCACCACATACCATTTGTGTATCATATACTCCCCTCGATGTTATTTAACAAGCTTCTACAGAAAAGAAAGGGATTGTATACTATAAGACATTTTGTCTTTGTTTTGAAGAGGTCACAATTGCTAAGTGTATCACAAAGTTTAATATTTTTTTGAAACTTTAAGTCTAGTCAATAACACACTCGCTTCCCCCAAATTTGAAATCTAAAGAACAAGGGTCATTGTGAACACTTTGGATTAGAAGTTAACGGCCTCTCTGTACTTTTCCCTAGAAAAATACCAAGTAATAATATGAGAAGCACCCTAAACTTCAGCATTGAGTTTAAAAGACGAGAAAATCCAAAGAGTGAAGATCATTTGTTCAGTAATGTAAAGCATATGATTTCCATGAGTCGATAAAAATTAGCTTACAAGGATCAAGGCATCTATTCACCAAAAAGTACAAGGATCGTGACATCTCGATCCTTTATTTTAAGGCTGATCTGTGAATGAGTTGTTCAGATACCAAAATCCAGCCGTCCATGGAAATATTACAAAAATGAAGACTATTCTTCACTTGTTTTCATCAAAATTGGTTCGAAATATATAATCCTCACCCTCTAGTTCCTCCTGTAATAAACAAATTGAAGGTGCAACGATCTTGATCCCATTGCTCTTTGATGTTCTCTTCCCCTGAAGCACACCTCAAAAGCCAAAAACAGTTTAATTTACTTGAAGAACATTTGAAACCAAAAAACAAAATCCGTGTATGATAATGATGATGATGACGACGACAACAAGATGATGGTGATGATGATGATCCATGGTAAACATAAGGCATACTTTGTGTTTAAGATAAAATGGTGTCAACGTTGTTCAATTAGAGAGTACACCCAACATTCTAAAAGGTCATACATGTTACTAAACCTATCAATTGCTATAGTTGGCATTGCAGCTCGTATACCCTAGTTACTAAGCCAAGATGGCTAACACTGTAGGGGCAATTAAATTGAGAGATTATACATACCAACCTTTTTCAATACATAAAAAAAATAATGAAATCCGTCACCGAATGTTTTCCAATCAAGGGACCAAAGGAACTCTTCTGCTTCAAAGAACGGCCGCCTGAAGTGTGGCTGTTATTGATTGCGGCACATTAAAAATGATAAATTCATAGTTACAAAAAATAGTTGAAGCAAATAAACAGCAATAAAAATCCCTAGATGCATACTCATGTACACTCTACACTGCCTCTCACTACATTGCCCACGTCATTAAGTAAATCTCTCTCTCTCTCTCTCTCTCTAAATTCTATGGTAACCAATTTACGTAGGGAGAAGGGTAGGAAGCATACCTGTCCAAAAGATATAGAAACAAATATTCCATCTGTTTTCAGAACTCTGTGAACACCTCTAAGCGTGGCCATCACTTTGCTTACAGTTGCAGGGTGTGGATCCCATGGATCACCACTGTCCACGAATAGTAAATCCTTCATATATAAAATAATTTACATGCTTAACTCAAGAAAGGTAATGCATTAAGACAAGCTATAAGTATCTATAATAAAGAGTAACATCATGGCACAGAAAATAAGCAAAGGTCAGCAACTACAATATCGTATAACACACCATGGTTCCCTTCTCGATGACGAAATCATAACATCCATCTCCAAATGGAAGGTCTAGCATGTCAGCTTCAACCACTTTGATACCTGCACCAATGAAATACTTGCCTTAACAAAGAATAGAAAGAAACTAGCAACAGCTACAAAAATCACAAAACTCCTCTCACATACTTTTTATATAGAATTTACCTGTTATACTTTGACATATCAAAAATCCCACCCTCAGTTCACGATCAGAAACAAATAAAGAGACTGGCAATAACCACAATATTACACATTTTTATGGAGAATTACAAGTTTACTTTTACATCGGAGACCCAAATATCTCAACCCCCTAATTCAAGATTCCAACCCACCAAAAGATGTCCTCAACATTAAGAAAAACTCTAAATATTTTTGTTGGTCTCAACCTTTCAAAGATATTGACATTTACCTTTTAGTAAAGGAAAGTAAAAGATAAAGACATTTAATAAACATTGGCATAGGCCCCATATTTCACATGACAAGAGGAGCAACCTGATTCTCTGAGACCTCCCATTCACATTCTCAGGTGATACAAGAATGCAGATCTTTCAAGCAAATGTACCAATTTATCAAGGATAACAAGCTTTATATTGGATGCTGGATTTATTTCCTGCATTAGAGAAACTAAGCAATGTTCAAATATTTCTGAAATATCCTACTCAGGTTTACCAACCAATACACCAAATATGTCCAACTTCAGTTCATAAGCACGTGCTTTTGAAATTCATTAAGCTCATTTCCATGCTTCATTACTGACAGCCCCATGACTTCCAAAACATCTGTCCTATCCACCCAAGAACTCCACTCTATAAGCCCATATACTCCTACAATTTTTTTTTTTTCAAAGCTGTTAACTGTGCTATATCAAAGAAGAGGAGAATACAATGAAAAAGAGGGGGGGGAAGACCACCCACTAGATGGGGGTTCTAGCCCAAAAAATAGGCAATCCACAAAGTGGTGGTTCTATACAAAAAAATGGGGAAAACCCAGTACATATGCACATGTAAAAACAAAAATACAATGGTCCCCTAGAGGTAACATAAGGGTTCCCAAAAATCAGATCATGCTTGAGAGAGCTCCATTTTTAGGTAGTGCGTCCGCTTGGGCATTGGATTCCTGCTAGCCTCCAATAGACAACCGTATTGGATTCATTCTCTCTTTCTCTCTCTCTCTCTCTCTCTCTCTCTCCTTTTTGTTTACTGAGTTGTATACCTCTTAGAATAGTTCCTAGTTCATACTCACTTTGTTAGTATTTTCAGAACCCAACCTTTCTTATAAGCATGACCCGGAAAAATTATCTTAGTATCCTACTTTATCCCATGATGCATTTCCACTTCTCCCAAGGGGAAATCCTTACATTGATGCTTGTTTTCAGTAGATCTCAGATGGAATAACAATCACGCAAGTGTTTTGCATACAAGGCATAGGGAGGAGAAGCCAATTAAGGCAAATACAATGTAACAAGAAGAATATGGTTTCAGGGTTTTTCTACAGGAGGATCAAAGACGCTGAACTTGGGGTTTTAAGTTCATCTTTTGCAGATACAATCCATTTTTATCTTTTGATGGGTGGTGTGATTTCATTCATTTGAATAAAAGAACATAGCAATTTTAAATACATTACAATACGAAAAAAGGTCGAAAATCGTATATAACAATAACTAACTTAATAAGAAGATGTTGAAGAAGAAACTAGCTCATGAAAGAGGAGATAATCACCTTGAGGACAGCAAACTCCCCAAAACACTTTTCCAGACAAGCCCAGAAAATGTTAGAGTCCCTAACTTAGTAATTGAGGGTGAAGATAATAAGCAACCAGCCACCAACTAATGAGGATCCTGTCGTTGGCGACAGAAACATATCTAAATAATAAGTTTCTAGAGAATGCATCCTTCCTCTAAGGGGCGATAGCATTGAGGGGTCTGCAGTGGATGTTTTGAGAGCATGCATCCTCTAGTGGGTAAAGCATTAAGGACACTATGTAATTTTGAAAGAATGGGGGACCATAGCAGTCAGGTAAACAACGCCATGAGAGGACACAAAGTTCCCCACTGAAAGTTTTTGGCTTTGAATGGGGCATTCGCATGGTTTAGCGGGGTATTCTTTTCTATTATTTGAAAAGTTTCACTTCACATAAATTGAAGCCCCAATTTACCTATTTATTCAGCAAGAAAAGTTATTTCTCCAAAACCCCACACACGTGAAACACTCAACAAGAATGCTCATTTTCTAAAGCAGATTATCCTAACCATACAGAAGCACATAAATACAGGAAAATGATAGAGGTGATAAAATCGAATACGCATGCTCAAAGACATGCAATTTATCTACACATTTTCCTCTAGCTTTTACAAATATTAATATAGCTAAAAGCCTACAACAGCATAATAAAACTGTCTTATAGGAATATGTCATTTCAAAAATAACTAATCATTTGCTACGGATGACTACATGACTGAGCGTGTAACACATACCATGATATCCCATGGATTCCACCCATTTCTGCAGCTTTTCCACAGCAACCTTTGAAAGATCCGTGCATGTTATGTCAGTGATCCCATCTCTGTACAAGCCTTCACACAAGTGGGAGCTACCACAACCAATCTCCAGTACCTGCATTTTTTCCATAGTTATCACAGGGTGCACTCATAAATGGCTGATAGAATACATACAAGGGAACAGAACAGAGAACTCAATACTTAGTAATCCACCCAATTTGTATTGAGATCAAGAAATCATTCAGTTCTGGAAAACATGGAATATGAGTAATAGACAATCTACGAAAAAAAGAAAGTTAGGGATTTGAATAGATGCTAAGAAGCACCAAATAAGAATAATGATTAATGGACAAACCCAATTAAAAAGATATTAAGAAATCACTGAATCAAAAATATTGGCAGCGGACAAAGATAGCCATAAAGGATTAATTTTGTACAAAAAGAAAAAAATGATTAATTTCCGCTGCAAACATTCATTTATCATAAAGTTGAGTAAAATTGTAAAAATAAAAAATTTTCATCTCCAACCACTCTGTACCTGAAATAGAATAAATGAACAGGAAAGAACAAGAGAAATAAATAAATAAATAAATTTTGGAGAGAACTTACAGAGTGAGTAGCTTTTACATGTTCTCGAAGCAGATGCTCGAAATGGGAGTAGTCCTTTAACCATTCATAGTTATCCTCTGATGAAAACCGCTGATCCCTAATTAGAAAATTTAAAAAAAAAAAATCGAAGCAAATAGCATGAGCAAAAAATAAAAAATAACTAAATGGAGGGAAAATCTCCATAGAACTTCCAGTCACGAATGAAAATCAAACCAGTAGTTAGGTTGGAGGTAATCTAGAACGGCAGATGGAATAGAAGAAGGGTCCTGCTTATCACTCTTCGTCTGTGGAGCTGAATCTGAACTATTTCCCTCCATTGATTGTGAAGCCTGAAACCCTATTTTTTTGAAGTCTGAATGTTGTGGTGGGATTTTCGGGGCATGTTTTTTTGTAACATAAGATGATCCACATGGCTTGAATAATAGTATGGTCACAAGAAGTAATCACCGTCACATCTAACATGTTGTGGACTACAGTTTATGCCTTTATGGACTAATATAACATCTCTGCCGTTGAGTTACTGGTAGGCGGTGATGATCCTATGATAAGATGATGGTTTGTGTGCATTTTTCTTTGCTGGCGATGACACCACAACAGCACAACATTAATAAGGGGAAATTTATCAAAATGCAATTAATTTATAACTATTTAATATTTTATTCTTTTTCAAGTATTCCAACTTAATTATGTGTAGTTTAATGGGAAGTTTGAAATTAATTAAAAAAATATGTAAATTGATCAATTGGTCTAAAAAAAGGTGATGACCTCAAACTTTCTCTTAACCCGTCCTTGGGTACGGAGCCAACCTAAAACTTTGCCAAAATTTCTATGAATCTACGGACGGATCATGATCCGTGTAGCCAACCCCAAATTATTGAGAAAAGTCTGATGATGATGATGACGAGGTAAATTGATCAATAATTCATCTCAGGAGTGCATTTTGTTAAATTTCCTTAACAAGACACTTCTAATGCCCTTGAGCTTCACATTTTTTTTCTTTTCTTCTTCTCAACTTGTTTTTTCTTTCATATTGAGTTTTGATCACATATTTTAAAACCCATAATGAGGTTTTGGGTTGGCCCTCTTTTCTTTTTCTCAACTTGTTTTTTCTTTCATTTTGAGTTTTGATCACATATTTTAAAACCCAGAATGAGGTTTTGGGTTGGCCCTCCAGTGTACCGATCTGAATTGGCCAAGACCCAATATCTGCGCACTGTAGTTTTCATGTTTCCTATCTTTTGGACTAGTCTCCCCTAGCCACTATGCCCCAAACCCATTCCCGAAAGATAAAGAAACAAATTTACATGGAGAAATGGAGATGATAACTAGATATCATCTAGCAAGATGCTAGAACCAAGAGATTCTCTCAACACCCACCATCATTGGCCACACCATCAGTCTGCATGAGGAAATAGGCTTTGTTAGTTCCCTTTTTGTTTCCAGGCTTGCTATTTACTACAAAGCAGACTTTAAAAAGATTTAGGTCTGACTGGGGATTCAACACAAGTTGGAGTGAATTTGGTACCTGGTGTTTTTGGAATGAAAAGAACCCTAAACCAGGAGTCTCCCGTTTTCATAATTTTTCACTATAAATGTTTCTCAGTCCTACTTAGGCTTTTTGAGAAGGAACAAGGGGACTCAGCCTCGGGGCACTGGCAAGTGTTAGTGTCCGAATTTTTGAACATTGCCACAGTAGTAAAAATGATTGGATCTTCAGTGTTACTAAAACTAAACTTGTACTAGATTAGCTAGGGCAACAATTTTACTGTTTTAGTTGAACAGTCATACCAATTTTGGTTATCATCACCTTAGAAATAAGATTTTATTTGGACACAGTAGATGTAAATGCATATAATGTGTCCATAAACACAAACCCGGAAACCTTTATATTAAAAAGACATGGACATTTGTGTCAGCATCTAACATGAGTGTCAAATATGTCAACCTATAAGTAGCTTTTCAGAAACTACATCTCAATACATAATTTAACATCTCAATACATAATTTAATGAACGGAGAGGTGGGTTTTAGGTAGCATCCAAGGACCTTTATATTGAGATGTTAATTGAAAAATTTAACATGAAGTATCCACGTTTCATATGGTTGGACCTGGCTGTATCCTTTGTGTGTCAACGTATGCCAAAAACTGTAGGACACATGCCCACGGTATACAGTATTTTGCAGGCAAAGGATGATTCTGTCATTGAAATGAGAAGCAACATGAGCTGATTTCTAAGATGTTTTGACTTTGTCACATTTTCTAAATTCAGAGCTTCTAGATGTAGAATTTCCATTGAAAACAGTCTGCATTTTAAGAGTATCACATATGCACCATACTTACATGCTATCATGGATGTATTGGTTATGAGGATACACATATTAACATATGAATATTTTCCTCTGTTTTTTTACATTGTAAATCCCATTTAATAGGAATAACATCTAGCATTTTACATGGGTCTAGTTCAAGAACTTAGTTCAGCCAGTCGATCCCATCCCATTTTAATAATATGGGTCATCAAGCCATTTTAATAGTATGGGTCATCATTCTGCATGGCCATGCAGCCTTGTATGTAATCCATTCTTCATACTGTACAATTGAACTATGGAAACCTTGGACAGCAGAGATGCTGAATTAGAAGATGGGTCACATATAACGGCCAATATTCAAATTACATAAATTGTATATGACAAAACACCACAAATTTGTAATAATCTTTTTGCGGATAAAGAATTGCCTCTTGAAATTTCCACAGCACAAATACATGCCAAGTCCAAAACCATGAAATTCAGTACAGGCTCTAAGATCATTTCATAAAAGCAAAGCCCATGATATTCTCACCATGCTTTGGTTATAACACCACCTCAAAATTTCTTTGGTAATGGGCATGGTGAGCTTGGAGGCTTCAAATCCTCGTATCTGTTATACACATGAAGTATCCATACCTTAGTTTCCTTGTTGATGTCTACTAAGAGGAAATATAAATGATATATAGTAGTCAAAACTAAAATAAGATTACGACTAAAGAGGAAGGATATCAAAACACAATCGTATCCTTACATTGTGAAAGGTGAAGGTGGTCTGGATAATTTTTTTTGTTCAGTTTCATGAGGGGAGGCATTTATTATAATGGGCTCTCCCATGGAAGGGGGTTGTGGGGGTATTAGTTTCTAGGGAAGGAGGCTTTTGAGCTAAAGAAGCATTTGGGGCCTTCGAAGAGGGTGAAGTTGGTGGCTTGAAGTCTTGGTATTTGCAAAACATATTACATGGTCATGACAAACTGACGAGCAAGCCAATATATGCATGCATACATACATGCTTGCATGCGTACACACAATGCATGCATGCGTGCATGCAAGTTTCTTGTAGACTAATTAAGCTCACTTATTAAGCATAACTTATTGATGGGGTCATTAATCCAGATGCACAAATAACGCAATTTTGAATTAAGGGACGTGTTTACTTTTGTATCACTGTTTACCTGTTGCGCTAATCTCCAACCATCTACGATTGGGAACAGATGATGGATATAACCTTGGAGTACCATATAGCATAGCATAGCATAGTCTATAAGCTAATACATAGTTTGCAATAAATAGAAGGAAAGTAATAGAGGAATGAAAAACCTACACAGGGTAAGGTGAAAGTGGCCTTGAATTATTTATCTGAGGTTGCTCAATTTGCTTTGAAATAATAGGTTTTGGTGTTGATTCAGGTAGCTCAGTTAGTGCTGATGGCTCAGATGGTGGATTATTACTTGTGGATCCTTCCTGGGAATCTCCATATTTAAAAGAGCTTGGAGTAGGGGTAGGTGAGGTTGGTGGTTTTAAGTCCTCATAAGTGCATATACAAGCTGGTTAATAGTGTCCAATAACTGATTAAGATATCGTTTTCACAATAAGACAACATCAAAAGAAGGATAATGACGAGTAAAAACTGAGAGAGAGAGAGAGAGAGAGAGAGAGAGAGAGAGAGAGTAGTTAGTTACGTTACTTACTACTGTAGTACGTACTACTACTATGTTCGTCGTGTACTAACGTAAACCGTAAACCTAACTAGTAAGTAAGTAAGGTAAGTAGTCGTACGTAGTTA